TATATAGTTTGAATAGACTTCAAATGCGTGGACAAGGTCAAGAAAATGGAATGAGAACTCGAGATATTCTACTTATATGCAACTTGTTCTTGCATTTATTTGATTATTCATACCCTTGAAAGTGTTAATCCTCTTTTGTCGGTTTTAGAGTAATAATTTATGTTTGTTTCAAGGAGAAGCACTCTTAACTCCTAAGATTACATGAACTCATGAGTAAGTTTCTGCTTAAGATCTATTGCATTTCCTTCCCTATGCTGACACTAGTAAGGCACCAAACCAAAGCTCCGCAACGCAAAAAATATAGAAATATCAAGGTAAAGTCCTGAACTAGGGTCTCCAAAGATAAACATAAATGACTTGTCTCAGATGTGCGCATTTGAATTCAGATATTTCCAAGCAAAAACAGGTTAAGTTTTGTACATAAAAATTATGTCAAACGGACCAGTACAAAAATCACAATAAATGAAGTATCAAGCTTGCTGTCAAATTCTTCATGGAAAATGCAACTTAAAGCGCACATCTCCATGAAGTAGCGGTAATCAGATGCCGATCCTGCCATCCTAAAGAAAGTCCTCTCCCTTCATCCCTCTCAAAGATCCTAAACCCTCCAGCGTTCGCAAAATCACTATTAGAGCAATGACTCTTAATCTTCAACAGCAATTTCGCTTGGCTTATCGATCTTGAACTCAGCTTGATCCCTTCAAATCCATTGCTCTCCATTCTCTTCTTCCATGTCTCCAGCCTCTCATTCTTCAAATTATTGTTTTCTCTCTCTTCGTTGGTCACTATATACTTGATCTCTCTCCCTAAATGATTCTTCTCAATGCTGAGCCTGTCAATGCTATCAGCTGGAAGGCAATCATCGAGAGAATCAAACATCGCTGCAAAGTAATGTAAAGACTCCATGAATCTCGATAAAAAAAAGCTTCTTGAGATTCTGCTTCCTTCTTTCTCTACCAAGACTACTAGTGATGGATTCAATAACTTGATGTAGTTCAATGTAGCAGATACCTCATTTGAGCTCATCAAAGATTGGAGATAGAACACCAAGTTGACGACCAATGTCTCATCCTTCTTAACCTCAATATTTCTCTGTCCTAAACCTCTCAGATTACCCTTGAACTCAAAAAACAAGTTATTGCATCCTTTCGCAAAATTCTTCAGCCTGATCTCAGTTTCTTTCAGAACTTCCAAGCTCTGCCCGAAACCTGTAATTCTAAGATATATCGGGCTATTGCTTGTGGCCTTATCCGATAAAGATTGAATCAGAGAAGGCCATTGAAATCCATATGACACATCAAAGTCTATAACATGTAGGCTCCTATTGTTATGCTTCTCTTCTTCATCAAAAGCTTCAATAATCACTTGATTCGCTGTAAAATGCGCAAACTGGTAATAAGGAGAATTTCTATAGAGTTGTGTAAAGGCCAATAACTCTTGTTCGGGTGTAGGATTGGCAACAATCATGCTATATAATGGTGACCTTCGTGTTAAGAGCTTCGCAGCTAAGCCATCAGTGAAATAGGCCGATACCCGTTGTATAGGGTCGCCATTTAAAGACACATTTCGATACAATTCAGTCAACGAATCTATCGCAGAGCTTGTGTTATTGTCGTCTATGGCAGTGGCTGAAATTAGAAGTAAGTGGATTAGATGAAGGCCCTTGCCATCTTCAAGCCCATGGCTACCGGCGTCAAGTTGTAGCATTCTATCTCTTGCTTGAAGCAAAGCGAAGAACTTGTTGCAAGCGTAAGGCTCGTCTCTTATCTTCCTCTTCTTCGATATCGAATCGGAGCGCCAAGAGCCGTTGATGCTTAGGCCAAGGGTCAAGAGATCTTCCTCAATCTCTACTTCTTGCATTCTCTCACTACCTTTGTTTTTGGAATATGGAGGAGGGGGGAGGAGGCAGGTTAGCATGTGTTGGAATATAAAGGAAGGTGGAAGTGGGAATCTGAGGGGGAATTCTTTGGTGTGATTACAAAAGGAAGAGAACAAAAGTGGGGGTGATTGGGATTTTTGGTTGAGACTATGAAGGGAATATGGATGGATGGCATCTTTTTGTTTGTTTACTCCCAAGTCTTTTCAGGCGTTTCCTTTCTGCTCTTGGATTCCTAGGTTCTTTTGTACTTCTCAATAGGATAGGTTTCCTTACATATTAGTCCCCGTGAAGCTTTCTTATGGATTATTGTTTACTATCTGTGAAAAAAATGATGCATACGAAGATTTTTCTTTTTGTTCATGCACACATCTGCAGTCGAAATATGCTTTTAATTCCCAACAAAAAGAAAATGTTGTACGGATAGCTTACTACTACTTAATTATTGCATCACAAAACATTAAGGAATTAAAACATGCATGTAAAAAAGCCAAATCAATTGGCTTGTGGACCATGATACATGCAACTTCTGTGATCCGTACATGTCAAATGAGCACAAGGATGACTATAAGATTAAACCTAGACACTCTCAAAACTTATTATTGGTTGTATGATATGTTGGATAATACCCATTTTTATACCGGAATCATCAGGTTAATGAGTTTTTTGAGAAACAATGTAAATATCAATGAGAAACTTGTACAGAGACGGTAAACAATGGTTTATAACATGTCAACAAAGAATTTATGATGTGTAGTAGTTTTCTGAAAAACATGCATTAATAGTTAGTCTAGCAATATTAAAAAGAAAGTACATGAACACCAAAAACAATAAAAACCATAATTAAAGAAATCCATGAATTCAGTTCTCACTATCTGCAATAGAAATATTCCTAAAAGATTCTTTACTAATAGTTTATGAGGCATAAAATGAAATGAAATGTTCTGGATATAATAAGTGCATCAATCACATATTTGTCAGGATTGCTTGCATGCAATTAAAAAATTCACAAGGATCAATATGAAAGAAAAGAGAAATCCTGCCACTGTTTTAATTTGTTTTGGCTTTTTTTTTTGGTAAATGAAAGAACTTTTATTCATCCACCTTATATGAAGTTATGTACACCTCACAAAAACTCAGTATTCAACTGAGAGCACATACAATTCAAAAATGGAGAGCACAAACAACCTTTTAAAACCGACAATGCCTAATAAGAAGGCTTGTTAAAAATGATGGTTGAGGCTTCAAATTTTATGACTTGGATCAAATGATCTGCACTACTAAACTTCTGAGTGAAGAGTCTTGCATTCCTCTCACGTCATATGCAGTATATTGAGGCTGTCAATACTAGTCTTTTGAGCTTGACTTGTAAAGCCTTTCCTCTCAAATATGCAGTATATTGAGGCTGTCAATACTAGTCTTTTGAGCTTGACTTGTAAAGCCTTTCCTCTCAAACTTGAAAACCAATTCCAAATCCGACACCAGCTCTTTCCTCTCAAACTTGAAAACCAATTCCAAATCCGACACCAGCTACAAGACTTCCATTTGAATTTCATCTAGTCCATGACTGAGTTCCATATATAGGAGGAATATGTGCATTCAAAGAATAAATGGTCTCTAGTTTCAAAACTTGTACCTGAACATAGACAACACATGTTTGCATTGATTATTCCTCTCTTCAAGAGTCTATCCTATGTGAGAAGTATGTTATGTATCGCTAGCCAGCTGATGAAAGCATGCTTTGGCACATTAAGGCCACCCCAAACTGTTTTGTGCCATGGCACTGAGCATGACACAAGAGATAGCCTTTTATATAACACAGACAGTTTTGGCTTTGAGTTTATACAGCATGACATAATAAGGGATTTGACATTATCAGCTCCTCCTAAATCAGCCATCACCCTGTTTTTTGTTCTAATTAACTGCTTCCACATCCAAGAGTCTCCTGATCTTATTACAGCATGACATAATAAGGGATTTGGCAAATTTGTTTTGGCTTTTATTAGTACTAGTGTGCACCCCGTGCAAAGCACGACCCCCTATTTTTTTAAGTATTGTATTTTGAACTTACCTCCCTTAAGTTTTAATACATTTAATTTGATTATTGTATGCTTCAAATTAGAAATTATATTTACTCATTTTTACTTAAAGGATGATCCAAGTTTTAATACATTTGATTTAGAAATCATATCTACTCATTTATACTTCGAGGAGGATCTAAGTTTTAATACAGCTGATTTGATTTACTGTTTATGATAAAGTAAAAAGCTGTAGCATAAACATTAACTTCAAAAATATAGCGGGAGATTTGATTTACTAGTACAGTAATATGTTGCAGCAGACAAACTGGTGGGTCGATTTATTGTTTACAGCACACTGTAGCATTTATTGTAGTAAGAATAGTGATTCTTTGGATCCTCCTATATAAGTACAGAAAAGAAGATAAGGCGGTGGTTGAGACTGAGAATAGATCAAAGATGCCAACAGAAGAGGGCCAGTGGACAAAAAGCAAACCAAGTATAAGAATTTGGAATTTTAAACAAAAATAAAACAGCCCGGAATCATTTATCAACTGGTCTGACTTGTCTCTTTGTCCTTCTCTATAACCAATCCTCCTCAAAATCCTATTTCTTAATCTAAAAACAAAACTAATATCAGAGAATATTAATTTTCTTCTCCCTTTCTTCAACTACCATTGCCAACAAGTTAGTTAAGCTTTTAGCAATGAGAAGCAAATGTCATTAGAAGATCCTAATTACACATTATTAGGATCCAATCGCTTTCTTAGTTAAGCTTCGTGTTCTTGCCTTTTAGTGCCTAATTTTAGTTAGGTGGTCATGCTTAAATTTAATTGTACTCCAAGAAAAGTATCTAGTTCCTCGATCATAATTGGTGTCAAAGATGTAGAATAAGGTTCCTTAGAAAGGAAAAAAAATCGAATAAAGATAAAAAATACAGAGAACCAAATGTCTTACTAAGGTTTCCGAGCAAATCTCTCTAACTGAATTGCGTGATAAACGAATTTATTCGGTTATTACTGGCCATAAAACTTCTTGGGTTATCTTAGATTTCGGCTCACCCAATAAAAAAAACACTATTTATGTTTGAAGTTATTCAGTTCCCAATCATATGAACATAATATGTGAAGCACTATCGCTTAGAATTGAGAAAACAGGCAGACCTCTTCAATCAGAGAAGGATAATTTCAGAAACAGCCATAGACCACATTGATGTCAATTATTTTTCTCAAAGAAGCTTGAAAGCCTCTGAACAAAGACAAACTCCTTTTATTCCCCCCTGTAGATTTTTGTTCAAGTGCAATCATCAATTTTTGAATGGGATAATTATGGCACATAAGATGTATACAAATTCCAATAGCAATTTCTAGATGGTATTCAAATACCACCCAACTAATACCAAGGTTATACTCTATTTAATTGGTAAAATCCATAGAAATGAATTTGTCAGGTGCAATATATTCGACAGACTTGATTTCTAGAGTTTTCTTCTTTTTTTTTTTTTTTTTTGGTGCTAATCAACTGCTTCGTAGTACAAAATAAGTTTTTTTTTTTTTTTTTTTTTTTTTTGGTGCTAATCAACTGCTTCGTAGTACAAAATTGAAGATGAAACCAATTATTTTCCAAGGAAACAAAATCACAGAAGCAGCCATGACTAACTGATGAAAGCATCCTATGACTTGACATTCACAAACATAAACAAACATAACACAAGTTAATAATCCTATCAGACGGCACAGTGTGAAGAAAAGGAACAAAATAGATGTCATCAGATGTACGAACAGGAGAATTAATTTGCAAAATGCCATTAAAAGATCACAAGAGCTTGTCATGCTACTTTGTTTATTCTGGAGGACAAAATGTAAGGAAAGATCACAGGAGACCCAATTCTTTGAAATTGCCGTTAGGAATCAACAACCAAAACCATACAAATTTGATTCCTTTCATCAGTAGCTTTCACTTGATCTAAATTATTTGAAGATATAAGTAGTCTATGGTACCCGCTAAAGGGCAGCAAGTTATGACATAGAAAATTCAGATGCTACAAACTGCCTTTGTTGAAGTGTTCAGCATCATTTAGATATTCAGAGAATTTGATAAGAAAAATGTCCACTCTACATTTCCTGTATGATTTTATTTTATTTTTTTGTCTACAGAAGGATTTCCCAAATATTTCATATATACTTACATTAATGTCAGTACGATGCATTCCCTTCTGCAACTGGCTTGATGGCTTTGCTTCCTTCAGCTTAAAATTTGCGGATGCTCGTTGCTGTGTGTTATATATAATATATATATATATATATAATTATAAATTATATATATATATATATATATGCATGTAGGATCGACTATACTAAAGCTTGACAACCATGAAAGAACGTATATATGCTGCTAGAAAACCAAAATAAATCAATTATACCAAATAAGCAATCTTCTCTCCTGAATGTTATTGCATATAAAGTTGTTAATATGTATGGCTTTATTTACTTCAGCGCTGCCTCAGCAATGAATTACACCTGCAATTACAGACACAATAGCTTTTGAAGATTAGATGTGCAGTTTCATTATTCTTACACGGAAAATACATCTATATCACAGAGATGCTGAAGAATTTCGAAACAGAATATGCCATTTTGAAGCTAGATAGAGAAGAGGGAAAGAGGGAGCTAAAAGTAGTGAAACATCAATTGCTCAGCCACAAAAGGACAATCATGGAAGTTTAACATTAAACTAGTATGTATCTATCTTGGATATGATGCATTCTTACTTAAAAGAGAGAAATTTTAAGAAGTTATGATATACTGATACTGATTTAAGTGTTTAAAAATAGAACTTGTACCAAAAGGAATAGTACCATGAGCAAATTACCCACATATTGACCCCATCTTTCTAAAATTATTTCCCGAATTTTAGTTTGGGAAAAAACAACAGAAGACATTTCATTAGCATATTTTTCCAACTGTCGCTTTTAGTTTAATATAAAGATAAGATTTACATAATGCAGACGTTAGATTATCTTACACCATTATCGGTGTGAGCAACTTGTATGTTCCAGCATACGTATACCTTGTCTCAGATGTCAAATAGATGTGAATGAAAAGACAAGCAAACGAAACAAAGAAGGTGCCTACTCTTATTCGAAATTAGCCAACAATATTAAAATTTACTGTCGTTGAGGAATATATCTGCATTGCTATTTAAAAAAAAAAGAAATATATCTACATCAAAAGTTTGTTTCACTGCATTATATATTTGATTTGTTAATAAAAGAACTTAGCCCTCCTCACCCCATATGGCATCAGGGTATCCAACTGATTAATCAGTCTATCATTTATAAGTTATAAATATATATGTTGTCAACAACCAATATAATTACAGCAATTTCACACCCGTGATTATGTAAAAGTATATAGGTTGACAACCACCTTCATGAAGGAGAAACTATTAATTCCTCTTGCAGCAAGGTCTCAGTCCAGCTAATTATAGATGGCAAAGTATCCTAGTAATAAGTACATGCTTAATCATTAAATGAGACAGGATGGTATGAGATGATATCCTAAGCGTAACTGTACGTTACCAGAGACAGCCTAACCGGCTAGCACCAAAAAAAATTGGTGTGTTTAAACATGGGCCATTTACGTGGACCCACTGCGTCAAATAGGGGTTATTGCCTGCTTAAGCACAACAACTGGTGAAGAGAACATGTCAAGTTTAAAAAATCGATTAGATTTCATCTCCATCCAAGTTCATCTCAAATAAAACGGTGAGGATCTTATCTTGGATCTTTGAAGAAAAAAATGTTTTTTCTCTCCATGCTAAAAAGGGCCGAAGTGTTGCTTAGGCGCCAGCCTAGGCGGCACCTAGGAGCCCCTAGTACTTTCTAACATATTGCACAAAACACACCCTAAGAGTAAAAAGAAGCAACAAAAGAAAATGAAAACATATGTTATGAGCTAACCCCTAAAGAAAGGCCTAACTAAAATGCAAGTTAGGCCATTTTTGTTAGGCCAGGGGTTTATTGGAAAGAGGAACCTTAAAAATGACCAAATGCAAATCATCTAAAGCTATTACTTTAATAAAATGAATCACATTAACACGTTATTAGACACAAACTAGAAATATAAATCACCCACCAGTATTATAAAAGGATAAAGCATTGATGACTGTTTTGCCCATTTTTTCGGTGCTGCAGTGTTGCACCATGGACTGGATCGACTTGTTTTTAGGATTCATACATCCTATCAGTCCTAAATGCACAAGCTTTATCTTCCTCTAGCTATAGATGAATGATGGAAACTTCATCATTGGCAACTATTGAGATCTGAACCAGGAGAATCATACATCACTCCGAAAGAAATTCAAGCATCAAACTAAGGAAGTAAAAATTCATTAGGAAACACATTTAGGCAAGATTGAAATCTTGCCTGTCACTATTGAAAAGCAATGTTTGAAAATTTTTTTTAGAAACTCGCTTCGATAATTGCTTCGCAACTTTTTGAAGGGTGAACACTTCGAAACTAAAGAGTATTTATCCCTTGAAGCTTATGCCTCATCGCTTAAAGCATAATTGAAGTGTGCGTTTGACGTGCACACTTTAGACAAGATTGGAGGATGTAAAATGGTTTTTAACGAACATTAATATGCCCCTTGTATTTTTAATATGACCATGTGAGCGTAAATAAAATATATACATTATGCATGTAGCTTAGTTTATAATGATTCATGTCTATACTTCACATATTTAATTCTTATTTACTAATCAGGACATAAACGTATATATTTGCAAATTATTATAACATTATATATTATATGTTCATAATTTTTAAAAATCTAAAATTAAAATATTTAAACTCATGAAGCCTACACCTCATGCTTTAAAGCTTATGCCTTTGCTTCATCAACAGGTTTAGCACTTCACTTTGCGCTTCTGTTTTTTTAAGCATTGCTGAAAAGCTACAAACTGGTATTTATTTAAGAAAATTGGCCAAAGTAGCTAATAACCTAGTCATGTTTTTTTCAAAATTTACATACAATAGAAAGAAAATCTTTCACCGTTATTTTAAGGCTCAAGATGATGGAATTGTGCAATTCCGACGGAGATTCCAACCTGAAAAGAGCTCGATCCTGAGTCGGCTGCATCAATTGTTGATTGGATCCTAGCACCATGGCTCTAAATAATAGTTGATCCTTCCTCTTAGTGGACCCTTGCAGAGCATTACGTCACTCTTAAGTGACATGTCCTCCAAAATCCCCATGACATCTAGATAATAAGCCATCCAAAAATTGATCCTACCACAATCCAAAATTTGCAAACTGCACTCCCTTCGATCATAACTTCAGTTCCCATTGTTCTTGGTTACTATCTCCAAAATTTGGATTCTCTATCTCCTTGAGTGGCGCATATCCGCAGAAATAGAAAACAATGAGTTAGCATATATCATAACCAATATGAGAAAAGAAAAGTCATTCATAAATAACATGATGTCACATAGCTTATCAGGAGACGAGTTGGGAGCAGGGGTGGTGTCGGCATGCTCCCTTATCCGTTTGATCAATATAGAAAGCACTGATATATTTTTTGGACTAGAAAGACAATACAACCAATAAAATCCATCCAGATTAGCAAAAACACAGACTCAACAGAGTTATTGCCAACATCTAAATTAGTCTTTAGTTATACGTATCTTCCTCTCCATGGTGAGGGGGTTTTATACCTCAGTGGTGGTTACTTCAGCATTATCCCTCTGTTATGTTGTACATTGGGTCAAAGACCTATAATGTGTTGTAATGGCTAGGTTTGAAACGCATGTGATTCACTTTCTTAATCGTGAAAGTTGTGGCCATATAATGATTCTCTGATTTAAACAGTTCTTGCTCCTACACACATATTATTTTATTGTCTACTGCACACATGCCATGTATTAGCAATCTTCAGACCTCCTTTGAAATTACACCCTCAAGGGTCACAATCTGGGACCTCTTAATGGTTCTTCTCGCTGAAGAATCTCTCAGACATTCTTCATGTTCATGAGCTCATTCTCTAAGCTTGTCAGCTAACTCGTATCAGAAAGGAAAAAAAATTGCATGCTAATTGAGAATGGTAGAATGTCCGGTGATCATAATTAAATTCTCCTACACCTATGATAACTAAGATGTGAAACCTTTATGAGATAACTTAAAATTTAGAAAAGAAAGATACTCAAAAAGATCGATTCGTTCAATAACTACCACAAATTGGGACTAGTACAAAATCCAAAGCCTAGGGATCAGTTGTGGCCCAAAACCAAGACCTGAAGACCATAGGAACAGGTAATGGATATGACAAGTTGTGACATTATGAATAATGTACATAAAAGAAAAAAAGGGACACGACTAATGTACATAAAAGAAAAAAAGGGACATGACTAATGGATATGACAAGTTGTGACATTATGAATAATGTACATAAAAGAAAAAAAGGGACACAACTAAGTGTAACTAGAAGAAATTATTTGGTCCTGAGAGAGAATATCTTTTCTCACAAATACAGATAGCTCCTTGTTCATCTATTTCCCCTTGCTCCCCCTGTTGCTATGAGGCTGACCATTGACACATCCAATCCTCACAAGGCCTTATCAAAATCTAGAAGTAACTCCTTATTTTCCCTTTTGTTCTGGCATATGTCCCACACTTTCTTCATTAATTTCATCTTAAGGACATTGAGAAGGTGTCCAATCTGCCCAAGGAGTTGATATGAACAGAAAGCAATCAGATGTATGTAAATTCAAAAGAAAATGTTAACCGTAGCTAAATTTTGTTAACAAAATAATATGCATCCATATGCAGGCATATAAACCCAATCTAATCATTGCTCTAAACAGAACTTTTTATTACAATCGTGGAACATAAGGGAGGTGTGAAAGATAGCAAGGCACAAGGCAAGGCATAAGACAATACATAGACTTGAATCCATTATCAAAGAAACCTCAAATCTTCCATCTAGTAAGAGCTTTTAGTGCTAACGTCGATTTGATATTACTCTTCATCTTGTGTAATTGTGCAATCACAAGGCCATACCCAACAAAAAAATCCTTGTGTCTGAGAGTCTTAAGTCTTAACAAGCAATATTTGGCAGTTGAGGATGTATCTGAAAGACACAAAACTTCAAGATACCTACAGGTGGATGAAGTAACCAACGTGGAGAAAGAGGAAGCTCATGTATAGTAATATTCAGACATGACCAATCGAGAGCAGCCTCAAATTAATGTAGCTCCTTCCTGCAATTTAATTCAGTCTGAGCTGATTTAGACAAGAAAACTACCTCAGCTCCAACATTTAGCAGGATTACAGGGACAGTAACTTCAAACATTATTGTCACTACAACTACTTCAAACTCGAAACCACCAATAACAATTAGAAAGGACTAACAAAGTTAAAATTTTCATTCACATAGAAAACATTACCAAATAAAGAGAAGTGAATAATGTCAAAGTTTCTAGCCAAATTAGCGACAGCATGATCAAAAAATTTATTGAGTTACTTCCACTTTATACCCTAAAGTTGTTTTCCGACACTTTGATACACCAAAGTTTACTTCTTTTTTTTTTTTTTTAACTTTGATACCCAAAGTTCAAAAATATGTAAACTTAAGGGCACCAAAGTGAAATAATACTTTTTAATAGAATAATATAAGCATCAGAAACTTACTAATCACGAGCCATGTTCCTCAATCGCTCTCTTTCATGAAATCTTGTACAAATAACAGTTACATTACATAATCTAGAACTACCTACAACTTGAAAGTCATTAGCGATCAATTATCCCAAAACCCTAGTTCCACAGTCAAAACTAAGCAATCAAGGATCAAGCTACAAAAATCCTAGCTAGGGAGACAGCGAAATGAGAAGAAGTAAAGAAATTGAACCGGACATTGAAAGCAGCGAGCTCTGGAGGAGATGTCTCCGGCAGCGGCGGCGGCGACGGCGGCTGTTTCGAATCAGCTTTGGGAGCGAATTTGGCACTCAATTTTTGCGGATGTTTTCTTTTTAGGGCGTGTTTGGTTTGTTTCATGGGAAAAATGTGCCCCAAAACAAATCCAGATGTGGCCTAGCCCTATCATTTTTCCCTTACTTTTTAATCCTTAAAATCCTAAAAAATATGTTCAGCCTTTTTTTAACATTCTTCAATGAATACATCCTAAAACATTCTAAAAATACTTTTTCCTTATTTTCTTCTTCTTCTCTGTAGTTTTCTCCTCGTCCCCCACTCCTCCTCTCAATCTCCTCCCCCTCACCCCCTCCTCCTCCTCTCAATCTCCTCCCCCTCTCCCTCCTCTCCTCCTCTTCTCAATCCCCCCCCCTCCTCCTCCTCTCAATCTCACCCCCTCCTCCTCCCTCTCCTAGTGATAGTCCTCCACCGTCGCCATCTACTTTGATCAGACCCTCTTTTATGTCAACCGCTCATTCGTCATCCCCCTCTCAATCGTCGACCAACGCTCCATCATCGTCTCCTACTCAGGGCCACCCTCTGCTTGTGACCTCGTTATTGCTGCGTCAGGTAGAGGATTGAAAGAATTTATTTTAGAATGTTGTGGTTGGATTGAAGATACAAGTTTTGTTGGAAAAAGTGTGTTTGAGTGTATGATCAGAGGATTGAACTTGGTGGGTATGGTTGAGGATGCAAAGAAGGTGCTTGATGAAATGGGTTACTTGGGGTTTAAGCCATCGGGGTTTGAGTATAGAGTGGTGATTCAATGGTATGGACGGTTAGGGTCGTTTAAGGAGATGAGGAGGGTGATTGGGAGAATGGGCGATGCTGAAATTGGAATTGATACGGTTTGTGCGGATTTGGTGTTCTCTTGTTATGGTGAATAATGAGGAGGCTTTGCCGGTTAAGGAATTGATTGACGCATCAGTCTTACTTGAAAAATTAGCGTGGTCTGATTCAGAAAGAAGAAGATGTTAATTTTTATAATAAGACTGTTTGTACTCTTTATTCTTGTGTAGTTTCTCCAGAATTGTTTGTAACGTGTCATGTTTCATTGTTCAGTTGATTATATTATGTGTTCTTGTGGTTTGGTTGTACTTAGATCAAATTTTAATAAAATATATTGTGTCTATTTAGTGATCAATTTTGGTATAATTTATTTTGATTGTATGTAAAATGTATTGTGACTGTCATGTGAATATGTACAAGTTCATTCAAATAGAACTTGATATGCATAATAACTGAAGATTATATATAAATTATGTATATCAAAACATGAATATTATGGTACATAATATGTACATAACATTTAGGTTATTGTGTACATAATATATACAGATTATGTACATAATATATACAGATTGTGTACCAAAAAATAGTTATATGTTGACTTTTAACTAAACGTGTTAACTTTCCTCCTAGTATATTAACTTTTCATACTGAATGTTAACTTTCGCTGCTTTATGTTAACTTTCATCATAATATGTTAACATTCACTATTCTATGTTAACTTTCATCATAATATGTTAATATTCACTATTACATGTTAACTTTCACCATAATATGTTAACTTTCTTCAGAACATGTTAACTTTCAACTGAACATGTTAACGTTCATCATAATATGTTAACTTGTCGGATGTATATGTTAACTTGTCAGATGTACATGTTAATTTATTCATCTATAACATCTTTGAGGACTTTTCTTGAAGGTCTGAAATAAATCTCAAATGGAGAGACAAGAGAAGGAAATTGCTATGATTAATCCACATTTTGAAGAACTTAAATTCAAATGGAGAGACAAGAGAAGGAAATTGCTATGATTAATCCACATTTTGAAGAACTTAAATGGTTTTTTCCATGCTTTTCCTCTTTATAAATTGATACCAAAGCAGGAGTGGTGTGTAATGATTAGAGAGACTTAATTTAAAAGTTATTGTCTGCACTAAAAATGTGGCTTAAAGCCCTTTATTTTTTCACGATGTGCTTACTCAGATGAACATGTTTTATTTTAACTGTACACGTTTACTTTCAAATTCTATAGACTTTAAAGTGAACATGTTAACTGCCAGCTATATGTGTTAACTTTCATCTGCATATGTTAACTTTATTATGAACATGTTATATTCTAGCTCTCCACGCAAACTATCAGTTAAATATGTTAACTTTCATCATAATATGATGAAAGTTAACATGTTCAGCTGAGAGTTAACATGTTATAAAGAAAGTTTATATATTATGGTGAAAGTTAATATATAATAGTGAATGTTAACATATTATGATGAAAGTTAACATGTTCAGCTAAAAGTTAACATGTTACGAAGAAAGTTAACATATTATGGTAAATATTAACATGTTACGAAGAAAGTTAACATATTATGGTAAAAGTTAACATGTTACGAAGAAAGTTAACATGTTCAACTGAAAAGTTTACATGTTATGAGGAGAGTTAACATGTTATGAGATTTAATAGTGTATCGTAACTTAAAGATTATGTACATAATCTGTATATATTATGTACACAATAACCATAAGATTATGTACCATAATATTCATATTTTGATACACATAATTTATATATAATCTTCAGTTTATTATGCACATTAAGTTATATTTGAATGAACTTATACATATTCACATGATAGCCAAAATATATTTCACAAACAATCGCAATAACCAAAATTGATCACTAAATAGACAGAATATATTTCATTAATTTCTGATCTAAGTACAACCAAACCACAAGAACACATAGTATAATCAACTGAATAATAAAACATGATACGTTACAAGCAATTCTGAAGAAACTACACATGTGTAAAAAGCACACATAGTATAACCAACTGAACAATAAAATATAACACGTTACAAGCAACTCTTGAGAAACTACACAAGAATAAAGAGTACAACCAGTCTCATTATAAAATTTAACATCTACTTCATCTTTTCTTCTGTAAGCTTACCCATCAAATTCATTTCTTCTCCTCATTTTCACAACCTCATCCAAGCAATAACAAGCTTCATGTTCTTCACCCATCAAATTCATTTCTTCTCCTCATTTTCACAACCTCATCCAAGCAATAACAAGCTTCATGTTCTTGTTTCTTCAACTTAAAGCAATAACAAGCTTCATGTTCTTGTTTCTTCAACTTAAATTCTTGTTCTTCTCTCATAAGTGGAAATAACTGAGTGTCCACACTATACACGGGGTTGTCAAACCACTCCTGAAATCTACAACCATCATTCTAAAATTATTCACAAAAACAAAATTAAAATCAAGTTAAATCATGAATCATAAATCACAGCTACTTGAGCAAAAATAATAATAAATTCAAGATTACTTACATGAGGATTTTCATTAGTTAAAGGTAAAAAAATCTCAAAGAAAAAGTTAGATATTGCATCACCGGAATAGTTAGAGGTAAAAAATCTCATTAGTATGGGCTAACAGAATAGTTAGATGCTGCATCACCAGAAATAAACTCATCAAAGAAAAAGCCATAGTCATTGATCCAAGGTAAAATTTACTGACACTATCAATGCCAAACAACTAAAATACAAATAAACCAAACATAAAGATATATACTCAAACAACAAACTTTTTTTTTCATTAGCTTCTTATTAATATAAGGTTTTTTTCCAAGAACTCATACTAATGGGTGTTCTGTCCATTTTCAACACCAAGGCTATACAAAACACTGGCATATTTCTCAGTGTTTCCATTAAAGAAACTCTCCTTCAGCTTCCTAATTGTGCAAGAAGTCAGCAAGCTATCACTCCCGGCTTGGTGGCAAATCCCCACCCTCTCCACATCAAGCAACTCGGCAAGCTTATTAAGTCCTCCATGCAAACTGTTGCAGAACATCATCAAATGCTTTATATCATAAATCGTCGGGAAATAAACCTTGATCAGCATAAAGAACCCAGCTTGCGAATCCGACAGACTCTGGCAAGTCAAAATCTTGAGCAATCCAGGTTCAAATCCTACTGCCCATAAACTTAAAGCGGATTTGAATAATGATTTGGTTGTGTGAGTCCAGATTCAACCTATATAAAAAAGCGCTCAACATACAGGAGCATGTTAGAAAATAAAATTATAACCCTCATCACCAATTTGGAATTTTGGTGTAGTGGCAAGGACTTCGAGATCATCATTATCTCATTAGAAAGAAAGTTTGGGAAAATATTACTAAAGAAGAAATATCAGGCCTCCAGAAGATGGTTCATGAATTCCTAGGAAATACACTATCTATGAAACATGATAAAAGATTTTTTTGGACATTCTACCAGTGTGATCAGAGCATGTTTGGTTGGATGGAAAAGGTCAGAAATATGTCATTAATAATGTTTTAAACTAGACAAGGATAAGGCAATGTTGTTTGATTGTTTTTTTCACTTAAATGATACAACATTCTGTTTACTTTAAGAGAAAGATGAAATGAGAACTAAATATCTATGATTTTAAGGATACAGCTTGAAAAAAGAAAGAAATTTTGGAAGGCTAGGTCTATTCTCAATCGAATATATTTTCATGTAAAGCAAAAATCATACCATAACATCAGCAATATAAAGCAAGCTACATAGTTCAACATTAAGAGTTAAATATATGTTTATGAAACTCAGAAGACACAGATTGCATAAACAAAGGGTTAATATGTGCAAGAAGAGAGAATACCATTCAGTTCGAGGTCACTGTTATGTTTATACTATGAAGTCTTAATAAAAGTTACAATACTAACAAATCCCAGAAGCAAATTTATCATTTTTTGACTTAACTCATGATGAGATAACAAAACTTTTATGCCTATTCCTTCAGCTACAGTAACAACAAAGCCTTTATTCCAGGTTTCTAGATAACTACATGAATCATATTCTTCCTTTGAAATATGTTAAGGGCTATAATCTACATCCAGTCCTCTTTCCTTTCTTCACAACAACAACAACAACAAAAGCCTATATCCAAAATATAACATTTTGGGATCAGCTACATGAATCATATATGCTCCATTAATTCCAACTATTGCCACATCCTTCCTGATTGCATTCAATCAAGCCCTCTTCTGCTTATCTACAACCCTCCTTATCCCGTTAACTATACTACTGGCCTCTACACATGGCCTCTGTTAAGTTTATTCCATTGTGCTTAAATTGTATAACAAAACATAAATTTATTACTATATTCAACTACCCAACATCCGATAAACTGTTCTCCATTCCCCAATTTCAAAATCCACCCAACAAACGCAAGTTTTAAAATCGTAAACTCATGATAAGGAACTTACACCAAGGGTAGCTGGCCTTATCAATAATACTCTCAAGCTTATCATAAACAACCTTACTATCCACCAGAAACCTCAGATACCCTTCGATCGTCGGCTCCCACTTCGCGATCGGAGCAGAGTTTGACTCCTTCTCTCCTTCCTTAGCCTGATCTTCAGTTTATTATGCACATCAGGTTTGAGCCTGAGAATAGAGGAAAGAGAGCCTGAGAAGAGAGGAAAGAGAGGGGGGGGACTGGCAGTTTTTGGATAATGGGTTAAGAGTAATTTTAGAATTTGGAAAATTTTTTCTTACTGTGGTGTGTTGGAAAGGCAAACAGGGGCTGAAACACAAGTACTTTATGTATTGGGGGTTTTGTCACCCAAAAAATAATATGGGGGGCCTAGTCACAACAGATTTTTTATTTTAGGGCCTTAAAACATTTTTCCCTTGTTTCATTCATTTTCAAAATACTATTTTCCTTCACTTTTTTATAAATTGTTTTACGTGTTTGTTTCGCCAAAAAATATGAGGTGAAAGTACTTTCCATCACTTTTCTTAGTTTGGTTTAACTTGAAAAAAGAAGAAAACAATTGATGTGTAAATAAATTCCTCATTTTCTAGTGTTTGGTTCAAACTAAAAAAATCAAGAAAACTTGATTATGGTCACCATGATGTGATTACCACCCATATAAGATAAAATAATAATAACAAAAATTGAGATCATCATCATAGCATAATATCACATTACTAATGACATAACAACCATTTCAACCAATTAAAAATAGACTAGATGAAACCAATTGTTTGTTGGAAATTCATAACTGAAACCAAATAGAAGAACATAAACATTGGTTGGTAACTACACAACTGAATATTGCTAGAAATTCAGTTCATTTGTACACAACTGAAACCAAAGGCCAAGCACATATATATAACCAAACATTGATTGAAACCAAGATCATAACCAACACAACTGAAACCAAAGGCCAAGCACATATATATAACCAAACATTGATTGAAACCAAGATCATAACCAACACAACTGAAACCAAACATTGAATATTCAACACAAATATCAAACACAAATAACAAGTGCATGCAATTTGTTTAAGTGCTTCCTAGAATGGGTAATGTGAGCAACATTCCTGCGAGAAGTTTTTCATACAGAGAGCACAAAAACTTGTGGATGAGGCAGAGCTATGTCTCCCTGAGTGCTTTCAATGGGGGGATTGTTTGTATGAAGTCGGCAAAATGGGTAGGCACAAATCCAGGAGCTATGCAGTTGACTTGAGAGTCTGGGCTCATCTCAGCAGCAAGGGACTACAAGCATCTACGAAGAATGATATATAAAACCCTTGTTAATGATAATAAGGGCCTGCAAGCACCCTCTCCCCATACATGTCCCTAAACTCCTCCAGCTCCCTCTTGGCCCTCCCCCTCAGCTCCTCCACCAACTCCATCACTCTGTCGACCCCCATCGCCCCGACCGCGTTCCAACTGCTCCTCATCCTGCTCCCGTCCCGCCCCTCCTCCTCCTCCATCATCATCACT